TCTGATTGAGAATAAATTCTTGTGGGGTTAGAGAGTTGACTTGATGGTTAAGAATACTGGCTCAGCAAGGGCTAGGTTCAGTTCCCAGCACGCATGTGGTGGCTAACAACCAACCATCTGTAACTCCAGTTCCGGGATCTCTAGCCCCCTTTCCTGGGCTCCATGGGTACTGCATGCACAAGTTGCACAGACAAACATGCAGGCAAAACATTCCTATACATAAAACAAATATAAAAATGTAATGTAATAGGGGCTGGAGAGATGGCTCAGTGGTTAAGAGCACTGGCTGCTCTTCCAGAGGTCCTGAGTTCAAGTCCAGCAACCACATGGTGGCTCACAACCATCTGTAAGGCGATCTGGTGCCCTCTTCTGGAATATACATGAACGCTAGAAGAACAGACACAAAGCTGACCTAATTGCAGAGCAACTTCTTGAGGCATGATTTCAAGTCGAAGAAATAGACCCTCCAAGTCTTCAGGAAACGGTTTATTACACTGGTAGGTTTATAGTGGGTTATCCTCCAAAAGCTATAGCCCCAAATGTTGGGTTTTTATACTTGCTTGGCCTTTTTTTTCCCTCTCCCATATATGGCTACATACATTCTGATTGGATGCTTCAAACTCCTGGGCTAGGGTGAGCAGGAAGGAGAAGGAATGGGCCAGATGGCGTGATATTCGACATCCACACCGCGGGACGGGGTGGTCACGCAGGTACACCTGTGAGCATTGGTCAGCCCTCCTTGCTATTTCCTGGTTTTCTTCTTCCTCTTTGCCCTGGGGGGCGGGGGAGGGCCTCGGGGACCTCCTCCCCCTGCCATAGCCGACAGGGGACAGTTGCTGGACTGGACTGGACTGGACTGGACTGGACTGTTCCTGAAAGGCAGGTGGCAGGTCTAGAACTCCGACATCTCTCACTGGAGTGAAGCTCTTCGCTGGAAAATTTCATCAGAAAAATATCAAAACCTGGAAGGAACATTAGCACAGGTCTACTTCCACCTGGGAAGCTTAAAATGTAGACTCAAGCCTCCACAAGACTCCAGAATCTGCCACTAGCCGTGGGCCGTGGACACCGAGTGGGTTATTGCAGCCAAGCCCAGGCCACTGTGGAGGAAGGAAGAGCCGCAGGAAGGAAGCCGGGACCACATAGGCAGGAGAGCAGGCAGGCCTGCAGCCTAGGGGACTACAGCTCTCTCGATCTGGCATTCAGTTTATTGTTTTCCCCCAGCTCCTTGCTGGAAGGGAAGCTCTTGAGTTCTGTTCCGGGCAGTTAAGGAATGCCTTTTCAGAGGAACACAAGAGTCAGAACAGAGAGTGGAGCCTGCCTCTCCGCCGCCCTCTGGGAGAGGGCTTTTGAAGGACCAGCGATGAAGTTGGTCCCCTCGCTCCCTGCTTCACAGAGATAATTGGCTGCTGGTTTCTAACTCAGCCCTTCCAGCTTTTACAGGAAATTGCCAGAGACTAATTAATCTGGCTACAGTGTTTAGCAGCTAAACTCTGAAGTCTCCTTTGAATTCTGAAGGAGCCCTGGGGGGCCACCTGGGCTCCAGTTCCCAGACTTTCTTAAATTCTGGCCAGGAGACTTGTGTGGGATGAATTGGCCACGTGAATCGCATATTGACCCATAATTACTACCCCAGCACACTCCCAAGTTAGGGATCTTGAATCCGAGTCTTCCTACTGAAGAGAATGCTTTAACCCAGTGTTCTTAGACTCTAAGGCTAATGAATATTACCTCCAGGGCTGGGTACAGATGCTCGGTCCCCTTCCAGTTGTTACCAATAAGGTCTCAAGTAGAATCAGCTTGCTGTGGGCCAGTGCCACTGAGCTGCAGCCCAGGGTCTTTGCCTTTGTTTATTTTTTGTTTTTGTCCTCCTCCGCCTCCCGTAGCCAAGATCTTCTCCGCCCTCCCACACCTCAAAATTCCTTTCTGTCCGTCTCCTTAGACAAATACGTGCCTCATTGATCAGTGACCGCTCAGTCTATGATCTCCTCATCGCAACAGCAATTTTGCTCCTGGAATCCAGAGACATTCTAAAACGGCTTATTTTCTATCCCAGGCCTCATATCCAGTCTGTAATCTTATTTATAATCCTCAGGCCCAAACGGTGTAGACTAGAAACAATGAAAGCGGGAACAAAGACAGTTTTCTTTCCTGCGGAAGAAGCTACCCTCCGCGGACTCTGCAAGCTTTTAATACAGAATGAAGTTACAGGTGCGTGGAGGCCTGGTGCGTTTCTCACTAGCATTTTTAACGGGCTTTGTCAGAGAGGGAGGTTTTTCCCTGGAGAAAGGTAGGAATTGGTGCCAAAATTAATTAAAGAATGAGGGTGAGCGAATGGTTTCCCCTGCCAGATAGATTCAATTTCACGCGGCCTTGACCACTGCAGTAATACCAGATGGAGTATGGGGTAAAGTTTTATATCTGGCCGTCATCTTGCTCTCTCCCGCCCCTCCCCCTTCCCTCTCTTCACTCCTTCCCCTCTTCCCTTGCCCTCTCCCCCTCCCCCTCCCCTGAGCTCTGCTGAGGAGCTGTCAGGGCAAGGCTGTTAGGCTAGGAAAAGGCCTGGGTAAATCCACAGCCTCTCACCCACATGGCTTTTCACAGGTTGGACTACTCAAGCAGACATAGGAAGGGCCCTGGGAAATACTGGCGAGTTTAGGAGAAGACACAGTTAGAAGCCAGGGTTGTAGGCGCGTGCCTAGGGACCCCAAATAGATAGTGAAGGGTGAAAATAGAAAGGGGTACGAGCCACTTTCTATGCTGCCAAGTCGCAGGAGCTATGGTTGCTTTAGTTTTTGAAACTAAAATAAAATTACATAATTTTTCCTATTCTTCCCTTTAATCCCTCCCATGTACCTCCTCTCAAATTCATGGCTCCTGGCCTCTTTTTCTCTAACATATATTATACACACACACACACACACACATACACACACACTCCTACATACAGAAATATGTTCTGTTTAGTCCATATAATGTCATGTGTATGATTTCAGGGCTGAGCACCTGATATTAGATAAAGCAACTGGACACTCTTCCTGGGGACTCCCTACAGTTCCTCAGTTGCCTGATAATGGTTGGAAGTTAAGAACTTCTTCGGGTGCTCTGTTCCTATTAAGCTTGCTATGGTTGGATCCTACAAAGACGAAATCCCAAAGTACCTTCAGTTTGTATTTCCCTTCCAGATGTGGCTTTTCCATTTTCTCTTCTCCTGTGCTCCTCGGCTTTGACCATGACCACCACGTGAGGCCAGGCGGGTCATGCTGCTATTCGAAAGTTCTCCACTTTGAAACATTTTAGATGTAGATTCAGATGTTCAAGGTAGGTCCTCCACCTCCCGCGAGCTCTGTCAGCATGCGCTGAGTGAATAGAAAGAGGGGTTGTTAAGAGGCGGAGAACTGGGAAGCAGAAATATTTCCGAGTATTGAACCTGGCCTCAAGTCCCTTAATCCTAAATTCTCACCCTGGAACCTGGCCCCTTCCTGGGCTATAAAAGAGGAGCTGTTGGGTTGATCTGGGGGGGGGGGGGGGGGGAACGAGTCCTTTTAAGCATCATCATGATAGCGAAGCAATTTGCTAAGATGCAAGAAGGAAAACTTGCCTTAGCCCGATTTCGTCAGCCAAGCTAGATTAAACACCCAGAGTCTGATGTCAGACAGTTTATTGTAGCCATATTTAAACATCCCGCGATTTGGACAAAAAATTTCCTGGTGTAACACAATTCCAAGTGGACAAGAAGGCATAAGTATGTTGAAAATCAACTCAGTGCGTGGCATTTCTTCCAAGATGGGTTCTAGAGATAGGCTGCCTGTACTGGCTTAAGAGGAAGGATCTGGTGTGGTCTCAGTGACAGATAATGTAGACGTTATTTGAGCTATTAGCCACCTCTGGTCCTGATGTGGGAATGTGGCGGAGCCCCTCACTATGCAGACAATGTAATGGTCACTTAGAGTATTAGGTATCTCCAGTTCTGGTTGAAGAAGCTTGGTATTGCCTGCTCCTTCAGATAAGACAGCTCACAGGGCTCTCTGTCACCTCCAGTTCCCAGACTTCTGGGTGGAAAAACAGGTTTTACATCTTTTACTTTGAAAGACAACCCTGTGGGCTTAACATTCCTGGTTTCCCTGGTGACCTGTGGGTGTAAATACCTTTGTGCTCCAACACATCTTGCAGGGCAGGTGCGAAGATTAGACACATACACACACACACACACACACACACACACACACACACACACACACACGAGATGCTCAGTACTGGGTCTGATGTAAGAAAGACAGCTGGTTAGTTTTAGGTTTTGGTGGCTGTCCTGGTCAACTTAGTACATCTGGATCCATCTGATAGAAGAGACTCAGTTGAGGAATTCCCCTGATCAGACCAGCCTGTGGACATGTGTGTGAGACATTTTCTTGATCGTTAGTTGATATTGAAGGACCTGGCCCACTTTGGACTGCACCATTATTTGGGGAGGTGGTCCTGGGATATATAAGGATCAGCTAAACAAGAGCCTCGAAGGGAGCCAGCAAGCAGCATCCTTCCATGGTTTCTGCTTTAAGTTCCTGAGTGACTTCCTGCTTTGACTTCCCTCAGTGATGGACTGTGACTGGGAAATAGAAGCCAAATAAATCCTTTTCTCCCATGGGCTGCTTTTGGTTGTGGTGTTTGTCGCAGTAAGAAATTAGAACAGTGGCTTTTTTTCTTTGTGTTTTATATTAGCATTTGCCGCAGAAAAGGACAGCCTGCACTGTTTGCAGTTTGGTTTATTTTTCAGTTCAGCAGTATACTGTGTTGTTATCAGTTCTGTTTTTTTCTCAAATGAAAAGATGCCCAGAAGCAAATGACCAGTCGCATATGCATCAGACAATTCCCATACAGTGCACAGAGCACTCTGACCATACATCAGCATGCGGGCAGATGCGCCGTAGACTTTCCAGGAAGACTCCAGGCTTTCTGGACTGGGAGCAGTATATTAGTATGTCAGCTCTCTCCTCAGCTTTCCTGTAGTGAGGATTCTCGTGTTAATATTCATCCGGCACTGTGAGCTGCAAAAAGGAAAATCTTAAGTAAGCAAGCAGTTTAATGTAGCCTGTTGGAATCCCCACCAAGAAGATTGCAATTTTCACAAATAGCTCCACACACAGTTTTTTCATAAATGTATGAACTAATATATAAAATAGAGAACCATTTTTAAATTCATGAATGTGTTTCTATTTAAGCTTTTCTTATGTGTAAGGGTGTTTGTCCACATGTGTATCTGTGCACTGAATGCATGTAATGCCTTTGGGGGCCAGAAGCGGGCGTTAGATCCCCTGGGACTAGAGTTACAGATGGTTGTGAGTTACCACGTGTGTGCTGAGAATTGAATCTGGGTCTTCTGGAAGAGCAGCCAAGCCATCTATCCAGCCCCTATTTAAGCTTTAAATGTAATTCGTTGTTACAGTTTTTATCAGTTCTTTATGTGTGTGCTTGCTACTGGTATGCAGTAGGTGTGTGTGCGCATGCCCTGGCCTGTGTGTAGAGGTCAGAGGACAACTGTGGGCATCTGTCCTTGTGTTCTACTTTGTGTTGGAGACAGGGATCTTCATTATTTTTCTCTGTCTACTAGCTGTTCTCGGGGGATTCTCCTGTCTCTACCGACCATCTCCCCACAGGAGCACTGGGCTATGGGTGCTCATGTTGCAGGCAATGTGAATTCTGGGGATTTGAACACAGATCCTCACACTTGTGTGGTAAGAACTTTCACCCACTAAGCTGGCTCCTCCCCTATAAGTTCTAATGAAAGCACTTCGTGCCTGTGTTAGATCTTCATAATGCTGTCAGGTTCATGACATTTCTACATATTTATTTCATCTTTAATTACGTATAAGCACCGGTGTCTCTGTGTGGATATGTGCTTGTCAGTGCAGGTGCCCACCTGCAGAGACCAGAGCTAGTGAGTCTCTCAAGCTGGAGCTACAGGGGCTCGTGAGCCACTTGACAAGGATGCCGGGAACCGACGAACGAGCCTTCTGCCACAGAAATATGAGCTTAACTGCTGAGCCATGTCTCCAGCCCTAGATTTCATCAAATATTTTATGTGATGGCATTTATGATCAAAGCAAAATGCCTCAATTAAACAAATAATTAGCCTTGAGATGAGAAATGAGCACAACGGGCCAATTAGTGAACTTGTTAGCTGTTCCTTCCTGCGATGCGACTGACAGCCGGTCCAGGTACAGCCAGAGAATGTAGCTGCTTGTGTCTGGGGATAACACAGGGTCTCTGCAGTGCACAGGGCAAAACAGAAACATTAAGGCGAAGCGATGAGCTTGAACGCAATGTAAGGGAACAAAAACCAGCCTCAGTGCCAAGTTCAAGCTGCGTTCACTATCTGCGTGGCCTAACCTGACCTGGCCTCAGTTTCCTCAGTGGTCAACTAGTGCACTGCATTGGGCAGTGCTAATGTCTTTTGCAGAGTTAGGAATTCCCCGCTTTGGGATGTTATTTTTGAAGCCCTTTGCTTCCTAGCACTGGGTCTGTCAAACAGCACCGCCGCCAGCGATTTACAAGGTAGATCTGTCAGTGCAGGAGGGAGGCTCCTGCCTGGTCTGGCTTTGTTTACAGGCGGCGGCATTTCAGCACATCCACTGCGCGTTCAGCAGGAAGCAGCCAGGCAGCAAAACTGCTCTAGCATGAAATAAATCCAGCTGTAGGGCATCTTCCGAGCACTCCCTGTGTGCTTTCCAACCTAGCCGGCTGCTATTGAATGGCAGAGCGCAACTGAGAACTGCAGAGTGGGCTCTTCTGCTAGGAAAGGATTCCAGGTTTCTCATTGCTGGTTTGGGGGTTGGGCAGAAAGGGGTGGGAGGGAGGGAAGAGCCCCCGAGAGAGAAGACATCATTTGATGTCCAGCATTCATCAGCTGATCCTCATGTGGGGCTTCAGCTCCGTTCTCCCCGGGACCCCAGACCACCAACTCAGAGTAGGCCAGGTGGGAGGAAACGGGAGCGGGATCTGAGAAGCTATGGGTCCCGCTGGTGTGAAGAATAGAAGCAATGGGCAGAGAGGCTGTGGAGAAGGAGAAACGGTGTGCACCAGGAAGGAGGAGGTGGCTGAGGTGTGTGGACGATGACAACTGACTTCTCAGCGTACTCTCCTTTACTAAAAGAAAAGCAAAAAATAACCCGGAAAAAACGGCAAAAGGCCAGGTAAAGTCTTGAAGGACTCCATGGTGCCACTCAGAGCAGGGCAAAAGGACCTAGATTAGAGTGGCCACTCTCTAGGAATTGTCCTCCGCTGCAGAGAGGGGCAGTCACACTGAGGGACAGCTTACACTCAACAACTGGTCCATGTTGGAACGTTGGGGAACATAAAGACTTCAGAGGGCATTCCCCAGGGCGTTTCTGCATGCTCCTGGAGGGTAGTGCGTTTTTGCATGCTCCTGAGGGTAGCGCATTTCTGCATGCTCCTGAGGGTAGCGCATTTCTGCATGCTCCTGAGGGTAGCGCATTTCTGCATGCTCTTGAGGGCACTTCCCCAGTGCATTTCTGCATGCTCCTGAGGGTAGCGCATTTCTGCATGCTCCTGAGGGCACTTCCCCAGGGCGTTTCTGCATGCTCCTGAGGATAGCGCATTTCTGCATGCTCCTGAGGGTAGTGCGTTTCTGCATGCTCCTGAGGGTAGTGTGTTTCTGCATGCTCCTGAGGGTAGTGTGTTTCTGCATGCTCCTGAGGGTAGTGCGTTTCTGCATGCTCCTGAGGGTAGTGTGTTTCTGCATGCTCCCGAGGGCACTTCCCCAGTGCATTTCTGCATACTTATCTGCATCTCAGAGGTGACTTCTCTGAGGGCCCAGCTGTAACACCACATAAAGTGTTCCAGATACCCATGGTTGGAAACAGGGTAACCCTGGCCAGAATTATAGCTGTAAAGATCTCTCTGGTGCAAGTCTAGGGAAGGTAGACTGAAGTGGACCAACAGAGGAACAGGTAGCTGTCCCAGAAACAGAGCTGTGTCACTCATGGAAGGAAAATGCATAGTAACTCAGACACATGGGCGATTGGATCATTCCAAAATGACCAGTGAGGAGTAACAGAAAGAAATGGGGTGTGCTAACATACTTGGCTAGGATGTGAACGCATCCTCTTCCTCTTTTCTCCTTCCCTATCACTATTTTCTGACTCCTCTCAGCATCCTTCCCCACTGATGGTACTGTTAGTTATGAGGACCAGACCTCACAGACAGGAACCACTGGGGACGCGTAGTGATGCTCGCCCACAGCTGTAGCTTCCCAAACTGTTACAGATTTTTTTTTTTTCCAAGACAGGGCTTCTCCGTAGTTTTTGGTTCCTGTCCTGGAACTAGCTCTTGTAGACCAGGCTGGCCTCGAACTCACAGAGATCCGCCCGCCTCTGCCTCCTGAGTGCTGGGATTAAAGGCGTGCGCCACCACTGCCCGGCTACTGTTACAGATTTTATCTGCTGCTCTTGAACAGAGCTCATGTAGGACCACAAGGGAACCTTGTTCACACTGGGTGTCACCAAAGGCTGGCTGATTTAGGGATGACCTAACTGTCAGCCCAGTAAGGATACACTCACCTCTTCTAATCTGTCCCTCTTTAGTCTGTTACATCATACTGGCTTATTCTGCACACCTTCAGCAGGCCTTGCAGCCTGTGGCTATCTGAGGTTAACACACCTTAAGAATTCTACTTCTGTGTCATGTGCTTCTGATCTAATCAGTATTTTACTTAACATATCTTACATGCTCTGCCTGCAACTCATTTACTACTGCGCTCCACACCTCTGATGAGCTGCTGGCACCTGTTTGCGGTTTTGTCCTTGGTAGAGAAATGTATACTTTCCTGTGCTTCAGCCAACGTACATTGCAAACAGACGGCTCTGGCAAAGGAGATTAAACAGCGACTCCACAGAAAGAGTCGCTGACCAGAGGTAGCCAGGGAACAAGACAGATGCCGCCGGGTGGCTGACCAAACTTCCTTTCCATCCCTATTTAGTTCACTCCATTCCAGTACAGAGGCAAGAAAATTTTGAATATTCATTTGTGGCTTCTCTTGAAGCTGGGGGGGGGGGGTCCTAGGTCGCGGTTCTCCCAATGAGACAAGTGTGGAAGCCTGCTAGGGAGAGTCAAAGTCTTTGCTTTTCCTAACAGTGAAAGAAACAAAAACCAGGAGCCATCCCTCAGGTCTCCTTCTGCATTAAACAAGAATGTGGTGCTCAGAAATGAGACAACCATGTGTCACGTGCTGTGATGAGAGAAGCCTCTGTTCTAGGAACGGCACAGTGGACATGCAGGAAGAGCCTGGGAATTGATGCTAGCCTGGAGCTGCTGTTCTGACCTATTGTCCTGGAAGAAAATCAACTCTCATCATTAAACCACCACGAGCTCTGATCTCTGCTGTTTATTACACTAAATACATCCTAAATTCTCAACTAAGTGGCCAATCTCACTGCAAAGGACACTGGGAAGTTCAGCCTTCATTTTAGGTGGTTCTTTGCTAACTGAAAAGTAGACAGCTTCTCTAATCTAACAGTGTGCTCAGTAGGGGGATCCCAGTTGACACAAACCAGTTTGTCTTCTCCAGAAGCCCAAAATTGCAAACCAATCCAGATAAACTAGAGTCTCAAACAGAGGTTTCTGGGCTTTTTAAAAAAGTAGACCCCAGAGAATCCTAATGGGAAATAAGGGTTGAGGAACCATGTTGAATGACTGCGTGTTTGGGGACAAGGTTGTGGCTGCCCCTCCTCTCTCCTAAGCCTGTATTTTATTGAGCTGCAGTATCCAGGTCGCTGAGCAGAGGAGAACACCAGACCATCAGGAGCAGTAAGTGCCTGCTTTCCCCTGGAGGTCGGCTGTGACATCAGAAATCTGGAAAGACAAACCGCAGAGCTTTCTAGAACAAGAGACTTGGTGATACAGTCATTCTGTTCCATTTTTCCGTCAGTCAGGAGAAGTGGCACCGAAATCACCTCCTACTTAGCTAAGAGAAATTCTCCTAACACCATCTTTCAGTCTGAAAATTATTTACTAGCCGAGGTCTTGCATGTATAGCCCAGATCAGCTCTGAACTCACTGTGAGACCTGGGCTAGCCTCAAATCTTCTAGCCTTCTGCCTCAACCTTTACAAGAATCTATCACCATACCTAAGTTTGTTTCCAACATTTTTCCTCTTTTTTTGTTTGTTTATTTGGTTTTGGTTTATTTTGAGACAGGGTTTCTCTGTGTAGCCTTGGCTGTCCTGGAACTGGTTCTGTAGCCCAGACTGGCTTTGAATTCACAGAGATCTGCTTTCTTCTGCCCCCTGAGTGTTGGGGATAAAGGTGTTCACCACCACGGCCCGACTTTCCTACATTCTGCTAACAGAACCCTGTGGTACAGTGAGCATCTCCACCCTTCCCCAAAGCAGAAAGCATTTCTGTTTGATTCATCATGACTTCAGCTATAGTCATAGGATTTCTGACCTCAGCACTCAGGTACACAAAAATAGGAGTCTCTGTTGTCCATGCCTGCTCTATTTTGTTGTTTGGCTCAGTAGTTGTTTAAGCAGGGTCTGACTCTGCAGTCTAGAATGGCCCTAGAGCTCATCGTGTAGCCTACAATGGCTACTCAAGATGCTCCCACCTCAGCCCCAGACCCTCAGGACCCAGGCCTGTGCCACCAGGACCATGCTGACTGACTATGCTCTTCCCATAGGAAGCCCCTGTTCTATCAATGGCAGAACTGGAAACAAGTCAATTCCTGGTCAATCTGATCCATTCTGGGTTTTCCTTTCTCCCCCTTTGCCCCGAGGAGGTGAAAGGAGCCCGAGGAACATCTGGATGTGGAGGGAATTCATCTAGTCCTTGGCTGTCATCTGTCCATGCTGGTATCCTCTGCCATGTCCTTGTTCCCAGGGGCCGTCGGCTGTCAGTGTCCGTCCCTCTTGGCTTCCACAGAGACAACTGAGCTCCCATCTGGCCTCTGATGTGGGGACAGCACTGACATCTGCTCTGGGGCTACATCTTCCCAGCAGGAAGCATCTCCTAATAGGCTCGACCTCTTTCAGGCTCTTCTACAGCAGCCTTACACAGGAGTGCACATAGTCCTGACTGATGAGCTATGTGGACAGCTCGGAGAACTGTGTCGGGCCTCTCAGCCGTGCCCTGCCGAGATTTCACCTCCAGTCCACTAGATCAGTGGCTCTAAACCTTCTCAAAGCTGCGCCCCTTAATACAGTTCCTCATGTGGTGGTGACCCCCACCAGAAAATTATTATTATCTTACAATGTGTTTATATTTTTATAATATTTTATAATGTTTTTTTTATTTTATGTGCATTGTTGTTTTGCCTGCATGTGTATCTGAGCGAGGGTGTCAGGTCTTAGAGTTATAGACATTTGGGAGCTGCCATGTGGGTGCTGGGAATTGAACCCTGGTTCTTTGGAAGAACAGTCAGTGCTTTTAACCACTGAACCATCTCTCTAGCCCCCATAAAATTATTTTCATTGATACTTCCTAGCTGTGATTTTGCTACTGTTATGAATCATAATACAAATTTCTGTGTGAAAGGGGTCGAGACCCAAAGGTTGAGAACCACTGCCCTACGCATCGTACAAGGTATCTAATTTTCAGCACTTTGTGGGGAACCCTCTGGAAAGAAAAAAAAATCCTTTGTTCCTTTAAGTTTTTTCTTCTCCCAGCACCCATCCCCATCAATGGAAAGGAGCTCTTCCAGGGTGTTTCCTGAGAGCTGCAACAGGGAAGCCTCTCTGCTCTCTACCCTTAGCAGGTAGTCAAGGAAGCAGGAAAGTTGGAAAGGAACAGAGGAGGTGCAAAAATGACTAATGATTTAATATACATATGTAAATTAATTTAGATTATTGTTTATTAATGCATCATATCTATTAAAATACATTAGCATTTCAGAAGCATTATTCTACCACACTGAGGTTGTTTTAATGAGAATGGAGCCCCATAGGCTCATCTATTTGAATGCTGAATCACCAGGCAATGGAGCTGTTTGAGAAGGATGAGGAGGTGTGGCCTTATTGGAGGTCTGTCACTGGGAGTGACTTTTAAGGTTTCAGAATAACCTATGTCCCTACATTTCCTTTATTTTCTTTTTAACTCCCAATTAAATCTTATGTCCAGATAAGTTTCCAAACACTCTTTCAGAAGACTGCCTTTAATGCACCACCATACGTTCTCACGGGCTTGTCTTTCTCCCAAACACTCGCACTTTGCTCTGCCCCGTCACTGCTATGAGATAACTCTACATTGCCTTATGGCCTATGGCAATCTAAGGTTCTTATGACCTCTCAGAGCACCAAAGGAACCCAGTGGTGCAAACAGGAGTTACAGGAAGTGCTGGGATTTGAAGATATGCTCCTAAGGTTGGTGTGCAGGAGCCTTGAGAAGCAGAGTCTCTGAGATATGAGTGGGCCACGAGGGCTCAGGGGTTAATAGATTGATGAGTTACTGTGGCAGTGGCTCTGTCACAGTGAGCTTCTCTCTGGCTCCTTTACTCTGTCTTACTGTTGGAACACAGTCACATATTCATATGCATATAGCATATATGATGGGCATGCTCTTGTTTCAAAATCCAAGGCTCTCACAATGGATCATTCTTCACCCCTGTGCAATTCTTCAAGCACCAATGGATCGCATCTGATAAAGGGCCATGTGTGAGAGCTGTTTGCTCAGCGGCCTAGATGAGGGACAGGGACTGCTCTTCTTTGGGGCCATACAAAACCAGTAGCTTTTGGCTCTGTTGGTAAATGGACCCAAATGAGGACTCAATTACCTCCGAATGCCAAGAGGCTCAGGAGGCATTTTTTTGGCTGCAGAAGAGGCCAGGAGCAACAATTTAACCTTCACCCTAGGATAACTTAACATATCTCCATACCCTCAAAAACTTTCCTGAGATAGAAGGCCCCTAAAATTTTAGTCAAAATTCTTTCCCAGTCTTGGACACACAAATATTTTACCAATAACTGTGAAGTAGTTGAGAACGTCTTGTTTATAAGGTCCAATGAACCCAGTATCATCAGTGGAAGGACAGGTGTAATCTTGACTAAGTAAGAGACAGCCTATCAAAAAGGTGGTGCACACCTTTAATCCCAGCACTTGGGAGGCAGAGGCAGATGGATCTCTGTGAGTTCGAGGCCAGCCTGATCTACAAGAGCTAGTTCCAGGACAGCTAGGGCTGTTACACAGAGAATCCCTGTCTTGAACCACCCTCCCCACCACACACACACACACACACACACACACACACACACACACACTACCTGTGGCCTAAGTCCCCCTGTGGAGCTGAAGAATGACCGCACTCCTGAAGCAGGGCGGTGAAAGTCTGTTGCTGGCTGTCACAGCCGAGAGCAAATGGTTTCTGGGGGTTCTTGGGGGAGAGAAAGAGGGAAAAGCATTTTTTTTCAGACTAATAACTGCATACCTCGTGTCAGGAGATGTGTTAATTTTCTCAAGCAATGAAACCGCACCTGGAATAGCAGTTGCAATCAGAGTTACCACTTGGTTAAGCTTACAAAAATCCGCGCACATCTCCAAGCCCACCCACCTTCTCCAGAGGCCAAGAAGGAGACTTGAAGGAGAGCACAGTGGAAATCAGCACCTCTGACTCTAAAGTTTGGGGCCGGTTTTGTTTTTATTCCCCCTCTCTCTGGGGCTGCAGCATGGCTTCCACTTCCTCTTTGCCTAGAAGAAAGCCATTCTAATGGCCTCCAGTTAGCTTTTCCACCACAAAAGCCCTCATTCCACGGCTCAACTGGAGAGTCCTCCAGCTGCTTGGTTATTTCTATTTTGATTAAGCATGCTGGAACCTGAGAAATAATTACAGAATGGATTCAGGGACCCACTAGACCCACTATAGAAGAGACTTCAGACCAAAGTCCAACCACCTCCTGTCCTGCATCAGCTTCTGCTCTAACTGGAGGACGGTGACATTTGGGACACTCTGGAACCAGTCTGGGTTCCCAGTGTCTAGAAGTCCTTGAAGTACAGTTACGTGAAAGATGTCCTTCAGAGAAGATTGGGAAAATATTAAAAATGTCTGTGTTTCAGTATGATGGCATCCTCCCTCCAATACAAACACACTCTATTCAGGGTGGTTTTTTTTTGTTGTTTTTTTGTTTTTTGTTTTTTTTTTTTTTTTTTTTTGGTTTTTTCGAGACAGGGTTTCTCTGTGGCTTTGGAGCCTGTCCTGGAACTAGCTCTTGTAGACCAGGCTGGCCTCGAACTCACAGAGATCCGCCTGCCTCTGCCTCCCGAGTGCTGGATTAAAGGCGTGCGCCACCACCGCCCGGCTCAGGGTGTTTTTTTATCTGGAAGGAGGTTCATGTTTGGAAATTAAGAGTTTGTGGTTCTATTTTTATGATTCTAGTTAAAATTTTATTTACTTGACCTGAAATATTTCGTGTGTGTGTGTGTGTGTGTGTGTGTGTGAGAGAGAGAGAGAGAGAGAGAGAGAGAGAGAGAGAGAGAGACAGAGACAGAGTCAGAGACAGAGACAGAGATTTGATCTGTCTATGAAGCCAGGCTGGCCTTGGACTCATACCTCCACATCAGAAGTGTTGAGACTATAGGCATGCTTCATTATTTTATGAGGATTCCTATCTGATTTGCTTCTAGGAACTCCACAAACACGAGTCATTGTCATGGTCTGTGAAAGTTGTATTAGTCTGATTGCTGTTTTGACTTTATTGTACTTTATAATCAATATACCTAGTCTACCTTGATCAGTTAGTATGGCCACTTAGTCTCTATCATTCATCACTGTTGGGTTTTTAATTGAGAGGTTTCAGTTTCCACCTAGATCTGGAAGCTAGGGAAATGGTGGAGTCATTCAAGAGTTCAGGGGCTCCCTGCACAATCTTCCTTCCCAAACCATTGGTGAAGGATATACTTCTAGATGCCCCCAGTATGAGGGAGTAGTTCTTTTATTTGTTTGCTTCTTGGTTTTTGTTCGTTTCTGTTTTTGTTTGTTTTTTGAGACAAGGTATGTAGCCTTGGCTGTCCTGGAACTTACATTGTAGATCAGGCTGGCCTCGAACTCATAGAGATCTGCCTGCCTCTGCCTCCTAAGTGCTGGGTTTAAAGACACATACCACCACACCTGACTTCTTATTTAGTTTTTATTCAGGGTTATAAACTTTACTCTGAAATCCATCTAGATATGAAGAAGAAATATGAACCCAAAGAACTCCAGAATATTGCAAACAGAGGGGTGAAGGGAGCTCTCCTGAGCTGCAGAAGGAGTGGGCTGGTGATTAAGAGGCACACAAGCCAATCAGAAGTATCAGAGCTGTCCGAGTCAGCCATGGTGGGCTTCTGGCTGGTCTTGCCATTCCTGGACCAAAGTGCTCCATGCTTCCACAATGTTCATGCCATCTTTCACCTTCCCAATGACCATATGTTGGCATCCAACTACTTAGTCTTCATGGTGCAGTTGAGAAACTGGGAACCACTGTGTCTGCTTCAACATTTACCATGGGCAAGAGAATAGGACCTGTACACTTCAGGATTACACTTCTCGTCCTTATATTTCTTTACTTGCCACCAGTACCACTATGGCATGTGAAGTCACCGCCCGGGCACTTGAATCTTGGAATTAATTCCATGAAAGAAAGGCCCCTTATACCGAAATCCTTTCTCTCCAGAGCCCTGAGCTCAGAGGTGCTCTGCTGACTTCAGAATCTTGTCTACAAATAGCTCAAAGGAGATGTGGCCCCGGGTTCACCATCGGTGACAATGTCAAAGAACACAGTAGGGTTGATTATTACTGACAGCAAGTGGCTACAGGGGGCTACTGTATGATTTCTGCAAAAAGGAGGAAGTAACTCGTAAATGGCAAGTCTGTTGTAGCATTCCATTTTCCTGAAGATTCGAAATCCCTCTTCTACTTTATTTTTTTTTCCGATTATTTTCTTTTTTTCTTTTTTTTTTTTTTTTTTTCGAGACAGGGTTTCTCTAGGGTTTCTCTGTGGTTTTGGAGTCTGTCCTGGAACTAGCTCTTGTAGACCAGGCTGGTCTCGAACTCACAGAGATCCGCCTGCCTCTGCCTCCCGAGTGCTGGGATTAAAGGCGTGCGCCACCACCGCCCGGAAGAGGGCACCAGACCTCATTATAGATGGTTGTGAGCCACCATGTGGTTGCCAGGAATTGAACTCAGGACCTTTGGAAGAGCAGGCAATGCTCTTAACCGCTGAGCCATCTTTCCAGACCCTCCCCTCTTCTACTTTAAACCAAGGGAGATCAGGCAGTTTCGATTTTGTCTCATATTTTAACCACCTAGCCAACCAGAGCCTTTTCTGACTCCCTAAGTTATAGCATTAAATGCAGAATCTCTACATGGTGCACTCACATCAAAATTCACACTGGGGGTTGGAGAGATGGCACAGCATTTAAGAGTCCTGACTGCTCTTCCAGAAGACCTGGGTTCAATCCCCAGCACCCACATGGCAGGTAACAACTGTCTATAATTTCAAGATCTGACACCTTCACACAGACATACCTGGAGACAAACCACCAATGCACATAAAATAAAGATAAATTTTTAAAAATGTAAAAAAAAATCCAGACTGGTCCAATTTTCTATTACTTCAGCTGTTATCCCACACCTTCAATATCCATTCCCATACATGGTCCCAAAATATTTGTTTATATAAATGAGAAAACTCAAGTGGTCCTTTCAGAGTATAGCATTCTTTCCATGATAGAGCCAAATTCTGTACCTCACCTTAGGGATGTGCTGGGACTTGAGTTTAACACAGAGATCAGAAGCAGAAAGGAATCCCAAAGAGAATCCACACTGCTTGCCATGACAACTGCCTCAGAAGATGCTGCTAACAACTTCTTCAGGAATAAAGGGATAATGTTCTTAATGGAGATGGAAAGGTTAATACATTGTAGGTGGGCAGGCCATTGTCATAAGCTTGGGGAGACCCCTTTCTCTAGCAGAGAAGACTCATCAGAATTATCCCCAGGTTCACCAGAGTCTTCACACATGTCCCCATGTCTATAGTTTTTCACTCCTCACTCTCTGGGGGCCTGCCACCCAGCTCCCAAATAAATACACGGAGGCTTATTCTTACTTATGAATGCCTGACTTTATGCTTGGCTTGCTTTTAGACAGCTTTTCTTAAATTATCCCATCTGCCCCTTTGCCTCTGGGTTTTTACCTTTCTCTATTCCATGTACCTTTCTTTACTTCTTACTCCATGGGTGGCTGGGTTGCTGGATGATTAACTCCTGGCTTCCCCCTCCCCTCCCTTCTTCTTTTATTTATTCTCTCTGCCTGGCAGCCCCACCTATTTCTCTCTCCTGCCTAGCTATTGGTCATTAAGCTCTTTATTAGCCCAATCAGGTGTTTTAGGCAGGCAAAGTAACACAGCTTCACAGAGTTAAAAAAATGCAACATTGAAGAATGGAACACATCTTTGCAAACAAATATTCCACAGCATAAATGAATGTTGCACCTCTTAAAATAATATTCTACAACACATGCCAATGTGAAGGATCTCTCCATGCCCTCGTTTTAAAGCTAGGCAGTCTGCAATGCTGGGGGTTGGCTTGTGTTGTAATTCAGGATGAGGGTCTGCATTCGATTTTTAGCAATTTCAGCCTTGTGGCTACAGAGATAAGAATGTCTTACAGGGTGATCTCTCTAGCACACCTAGATGTTCTTGCTTGAGTAAGAGATTTAAATCCCTGAGCCCATGTTTCTCTTTTTTATTTTGTTCAGTAATTATAGGACAAGCAATCAATGTTATCATATTCCTTTGTTCTACAAAATTGTTTGTAAGTATCTTAAAGTCACTTGGCTCCTTGCTTCTTTAAAACATATATTATTATGACATTATATTATATTATTATGACAGATACTAGAAAGATTGCTCAGCAGCTAAGAGTGCTTGTAGAAGCCAGATGTGACGGCACACACTAATCCCTGTGTCTAGGAGACAGAGACAGGCAGATCTCTGTGACTTCAAGGCCAGCCTGGTCGACATAGAAAATGTCAAGACAAGAGATACATAGTAAGACCCTATCTCAAAAACAAATAAAAAAATAAAATAGAAAATAAAAAAAAGTGCTTTTTGCGTAATCATAAGATCAGAGTTTAGACCCCACATAACAAGCAAATATCCTACAGGCTCCTCTAATTTTAGCACCATAGAGTCTGATGCCTCTTCTGGAACCTACACATGTACATATACACATGTATAAGTATGCACATCCACAGCGACATATACACATATAAGTAGATGAAATGAATTTTTATATATATTATGACACTTTCATGCATATATGTAAGATGTACTGTGATCATATTCACATAATCCATTTCTTACTTCTTATCGGTGATTGGCTATGTGTCCGATGGAGATATTTTGCATATCTTTATATACGGTTCATGCCATGAACCCAGCTTGGTTGCCTTATTGCTGGAAATGCAGTCATTAGCATCTTTAATAGTAGTCAGGTT